TGTAATGCAAATACATGAGTTGTCTGTCAAAGTCATAGAAAACTGATAATATTTGAGTTTTGTTACCCAACTCATAGTTTTTTTTAATTCTTTTTATGTTTTGTTTATTTCTTTGTGTGTGTGTGTTTTCTTTTTTTTTTAATAGTTTATTGTCAAGTTGGTTTCCATACAACACCCAGTGCTCATCCCCACAAGTGCCCTCGTCCATGGCCATCACCCCCTTCCCCTCCCCCCCACCCCCATCAGCCCTCAGTTTGTTTTATTTATTTCTGAGAGAGAGAGAGAGAGGCAGTGTGAGCAGAGGAGGGTCAGAGAGAGAGGGAGACTCAGAATCTGAAACAAGCTCCAGGCTCTGAGCTGGCTGTCAGCACAGAGCCTGCTGCAGGGCTCGAACCCACGAACCATGAGATCATGACCTGAGCCGAAGTTGGAAGTTTAACCGACTGAGCCACCCAGGTGACCCTACCCAACTCATAGTTGAAGAAAATGCTAAATATCAGTATTAATAAAAGTAAAGATTGGTTTTTTTCCCCCCAGAGAAGTTTACATATATCCTAAATTCTATGCAGTCATGGGAATGCTTAGTTTGGAAAGGACGTTAGCAATTATGTTTCAGGGGTTCTAGACATAGATGGCCTCACGATAATTTAGTTAATACTGAAGAAATAGAAGTTCCTGGGACCTTGGAATGACTTAGCTTATTGAAATAGAATCTCTGAAGTAAAATCCATGTATATGTTTATAAACCCCAAAGTTGATTCTATCATACAGCCAATCAAGAAACTCATTGAACTCAGTATTTCCAAGGAATTTCTCCAAGAATTTCTGATATATATTCCTTTTCCACCCTTAAGTCTCATGGACTTGGTATTTTGAATGATTTATCTCAGTGTATAAGTTAAGTAGCCATTAATTCCTTCCTCCTATAAAAAAGTACTTAAGGTGTAATTTACATAGAGTAATAGTCACACTTTTCAGCATATCGGATAATCGTACAACTACAACAATTATCAAGACATGGAACAGTTACATCACCCTAAAAACTTACCTGTGCCCCTCTGTAGACAGCACTTCCCTCTCTCTTCAGTCCCTGCCAACAACTGATGTGTTTTCTGTCCTAGTTGTCTTTTCCAGATCGTCCTATAAATGATTCATACAGGCCTTTGAATCTGGCTTCTTATATTTATCATAATGGATTTGGGGTTCACGCATGTTCTTTGTGTATCAGTAGTTCATTCCCTTTTATTACTAAATAATACATATTCCATGGGATTGATGCACCATGTTTGTTTATCCACTCACCAGTTAAGGACAATTAGATAGTCTCAATAATTTCTGGCAACTATGACTAATGCTGCTACAAATACTTACAGATTTTATATGAATGTAAGTTTTGTGAAACAAAAATCCTTGGGTACATACCCAGGATTGGAGTTGCTAAGTCATACATAAGTGTATAGTTAACTATATAAGAACCTGCCAAATTATTTTCCAAAGTGTCTGTACCACTTTGCATTCACACACACACACACACACACACACACACACACACACACCCCAAACCTGTTCATAATAAAACGAGGAGGAATACTCATGAGAATCACAGTCCTTAGCTCTGTAACTGATCACGTGGTCATAACTGGTGTTCCTTACCATCCATTGCCCCCTCTTTATTTCCTTTGTCTTCATTAAGCACCACAGCTATCATGGTCATGGTTCTGAGAGCACAAAGAATAAATGAGGGCAAACATTGCTGAGAGCCTTATTTAAAAAGGAGGATGTTGAGGAAGTACGTGTCTTCTGTCTCAAATGCTCAGAATTGTTGCAAACAATTCTGTTAAAATTCAGTTAACAGGTGAGGACTCTAGAGAAGTTAAGCAATCTGACGGAGATTCCAGAGCCTGAATGGTTAGAATTCCTTCCAAGCCAGGCAGACTTTCAAGGCTTACGAGCATTAGCCGGGTGGCTTAGGATAAGTCACACAACCTCCCAGAATTTCTGTTTGTGACATCACTGGGAGATAGTAAGACCTGCCTTGCAAGTGAGTCATGCAGATTAGATATAATACCTGCTTAGTACAGAATCCACGTTGCACCAAAGTCTTCAGTGTCCTCTGCTTATTGCTCTCATTTACTATACACAAGCTCTTCTTTCTAGTGCCTCCGTGAGACTAACAATGAAAGAGGGACTCAGCAAGGACACTGGGTGGCCATGGGGTTATAGCCGCAGCAAAGGACCCTGAGAACACTTATTAGTTTAGTCCAGGTCTGTGGAGCTAATAATGGAAGACAGACTATGATCCATGCCATGAAACTAGGAACGGGCGTATTTATGGACTGGAAAATGGAGAGCCTCAACTGACCCACACAGGACATTATTGCTGGACCCCTTTGGGAATCTCAGGAGAAAACTGAGCTCCTATAGGAACCTAATAGCCATCACGTGGACCTGTTACACAGTGCCAGTGCCAGCATGAGGCCACACATCTCATCTTATTCTCACTATAATTCCAGGAAGTAAGGATTCTTTTGCCTATTTCATAAGGGAGGATATAAACCTAAATCTACTTGACTCCTAAGCCCATGGTCTTATAATACAGTACTTTTTAGAAAAGACTGCTGGTAAAAAGTTTTTTAAACATTTAAAAAAGAGGAGGAGGGATCAATTCAGTATTCTATAAGCAAAAGAGGAAATATTATTATGAAAGCAATATTTCACAGATTTCCTGAGTAAGGAACCAGAACTCGAAACTAGAAAGCTGTGCATGTGGATGCGTGTTCCCACTGCACCCTACCCCCACTCCCTACCCCACCCCCACTCTCATCCCCCCCCACACCCCACCCACCATCTTTTGCCTCAGTCTTTTCTCTCTCTCTGTAGAGCACTCCCTACACTTCCTCAGCCCTGTGTAGAATTAGCCCCTCCACAGGTCTGACGTTATAGGCTACTGGTCCACCCTCCCAGATTTCTTTCCAAGTTACCAGAAGAATCTTTTATGGATGGATGGATGACCCAGGTGTGAACTCTGAGGGGTGTGAAATTCGAGCCAGGGCCACAGAAATTCCCGAGTCCAGCCTACTCCTATGTGGGAGTCTCACGTATCCCCACAATGTGTTCACCTGTCTCCGTTTGGACTCCTCCAGGTCAGCCAGCTTAATTGTGGGAGTCCTGGCTGTTAAAATGTCCTCCTTTATACTGCTCTTACCTCTATTAATTCTCCCTCAAGGGGCCTACCAAGGCTAAGAGGGCAGGCCTTGTAGGCAGCCTCAGCCCCATGGTTTCCCAAGTCCTCCCACCCCAGCCCCTGGGCCACAAGATCTGGCCATCAGTGTTCTTCTGAAACAGGAACCTGACCGGCCAGGCGAGACTGCTACCCTCCAGCTCCAACCTCTGGGCAAGACTTCCCTACTGTTTTTCAGCCCAGCACATGGTGGCTGGTGTTCAGGGGGCCATACTGCTCCAGAGGAAGACCCATTGTGGGTTGCTCAGGGGCCAGAGGCGATGTTGAGGGAGGAGGTGGTAGTGGAGACTCCTCTGCTCCTGAGGAGTCACAGGGAAGTAGGGGCCCCAGAAAGGCCCAGTCAGGAGGGGAGGTGCAGAACGCAAGCCCGACCACAGCCCAGCTCAGTCACAGGCTCTGACTGCAGTCTTTGAAGGTGTGGCCAGGGCTGAGGGTGGAGGGGAAACTGTGGAGAGGAGGTTCTTTGAAGGGGCTGAAGGCTCTGAGATGGAAGGGGTCTAGAGATGGGAATGAGGGTTCAGTGAGGGAGGGGGCTCATTCATGAAGGGTCCATCGTTGGTGGTGAGGGGGTAGGGCACTGGTGAGAAGACCGGGTCTTGGGATGACTGATGACAGACAACTACCGGCCTCTCTTTTTCCCAAATTGGGGAGTTAGGGCTGGGGGAGGGGCCTTTTTCCACTGTACCCCCACTCCCTCCACCTACAATTGTCTGGGTGTGCTGTGACTTGAGTAGGGGTGGGGGGAGTATGAACTTGAGATAGAGAGGATGGGATCTGCACAGACATCAAGGGCAGTGGTGAGGAGAGGTAGGGTAGTGTTAGGACAGAGTCAGAGACACCACTCCACCCAGAGTTTAGTCTCATACCCCAGAACCAGCGGGCCCAGGGCCTCCCTTTTGATGCCCCCAGGAGAAGAATCTTATTGGACCAGCTTGAGTCAGGTGTCTTCCAAAGTTCATACCGGTTGAGGACCACCAGTAGCAAGGTGAGCAGGAGCCACCTCTGTGCACCTCTGAGCAAGGAGAAAGGTGACTGATGCTCATGATGGATATAAACGTTAGAAAGGGTTTCCTCCACGGCTATACTACTTTCCTGTAAGACGTTCAAGCATTTATTCATTTCAGGTAATTTAACTAAGCATGGCCTGCATTAACATAAACATTAATTGAGGAATGTGTAATGAAGATGTTAGATGTCTAAAGACATTGAGGAAGGTAGAGAAACAAGTAAATCTAGAATGTTAGAGTAGCCAGTTGGAGTGCATCGGGCCATCTGCCTGGTGGAGGCTGTAAATATTTTCTGGATTCTGCCACAGTGTTCTCTGATTGGGGGGGGAGGTGGGGGGCAAGCCACCTATATAATTTAAACATTCTAGCAGCCACATATTTTCTTTTTTAATGTTTTAAATAATTTTAAAATTTTAAATTAAAAAAATTTTTAAATTTATTTTTGAGAAAGAGAATGCACACAGGGTGGGGAGAGGTGACAGGGGTAGAGAGTGAATCCCAAATAGGCTCTGTGCCATCAGCACTTAGCCAGATGCAGGGCTTCAACTGAACTCACATGCCAGGAGGTCATGACCTGAGCCCTTAGCCAAAATCAAAAGTCAGACACTTAAGGGACTGAGTCACCCGGGTGCCCACTGGCAGCCACATATTTTGAAAAGCAGAGGGAGAAAGGTAAAATTCGTGTTAGTAATACATTTTATTTAACTTAATATCTAAAATATTATCATTTCAACATGTAATCAGTAATATTATCGAGATGTTTTACATTTTTTCCTAAGGATTCAAAATCTGATATGTATTTTACATTTGGAACAGATCCCAATTTAGATGCAATATTTTCATTGGACATACCTGATCTGTATTTGGATTTCCTAAAATACACATTGCACAAATAGAGCTGTAATCACACAGTCACTCTTTATGCTACCTCTCATTTCTCATGTGAGGTGAAATTAATTCTTGCTGGGCTTTCCAGTTATTGCTAAGTTGGTCTATCACCCAGACTGTTTTTCTTATGTAGAAGTGATCATTGGTAAAAATGACCATGCTGAGATTGTGAGCCTCTAATCTGCAAAGGGGGGGAAAAATAAGAAAGTGGGAAACGGGGAGCTACATTTGTTCACCTCTTTGCCTGGCTTATATTAACAACAAATACATCTTTTTTTCAGAGATTAGTTGAACTGAATAGGTTGGAAATTTCTGGGATTTTATTGTTACTTCTTTTTTTTTTTTTCTTTTCACTGAAACCATCAAGTTTCCTTAGGGAGACCTCGTGCTTTGCCCCCCTATAATTCCGTAGTCGCATGTAAGGGGTCAGGGGATGCTGACAGTGCAAAGGACTGGTGTCCAAAGGCAAGTAGCTAACGCTTGTCCCTTGCGGGCAATACGTGTGACAGCACAGATTGGCAAGGAGGCAGCAGCTCCTGCAGGGAACACCCAGCAAGGCTTTAGGTTGAATGACAGGTCACGGGCCCCCGGTAGAAGGCCGTCTACAGAATGGTCTTACGGAATGGTCTCTAGAATCACCTAAAGACAGCACAGATCTAACCACTCCAAGTCTGGTGCCAGGCAAAGTTACTCCCGCAGAAAACATGGGTGCCAGAGCCGCCAGCGCTGTCCTCACACTCTCTTCTCCTTGGGATTGCTCAGCCTGGCCGGGCCTCGAATTTTTTAAATCTTTTTCTTATTAGTGCTTTCTTTCGAGGAAGGAAGAGACAGCTCCAGCTCCCTTTTCTTGGCATCCCAGTCTTCATCCTTCTGGTCCAGAGGCAGCCCCTTCTGCCTGGCGGCGCGGCGGTGGTCCCGGCACTCGGGCTCAGCCCTGGAGAGGGGCAAGAAGGCAGCTCAGGAGAGGCTGTGGAGGCAAGATGGCGGCTCTGAGTCCCCGGAAGGGAGAACCTGTGCCGGCAAGATGGCGGCCCTCAGTAGCCGGATGGGAGAGCCTGTGCTGGCATCAGCATGGGCATCTCTTCCTGACCTCTGCGCACAACCTGGCCACTTTAGTAGGCTGGAAGGGAAGGAAGGAGGCCAAGTTCAGGTATTTCCAAGTGTACGCTTAGGGACCTCAGACACTAAAGAAGCTACTGAGGTGGAGAAAAATGGCATGCCCGGAGTGGGGAGTTCACAGAGGCAAGGATGGGCACTTAGGGCGAAGAAGGCGCTGCAAATGCTGAAGTGCTCACATTTACAGAGCCACCAGCGTATTACCAGGACACTGTTTTCCTTCGTTTCTTTTTCAGTTGTCTTTTTTTTTTTTTCTAATTATAAAGCCATGTCCATTTGTTGTATAAGATTTTATATTTTTATCAAAATAATGCTTTAACGTTTATTTATTTTTGATAGATAGGTACAGAGTGCTTGCAGGGGAGGGACAGATGGAGAGGGAGACACAGAATCACAAGCAGGCTCCAGGCTAAGCTGTCAGCAAAGAGCCCCACGCAGGGACCGAACCCAAAAACTAAGAGATCATGACCTGAGCCAAAGTTCGTGCTTAACCAATGAAGCCACTCAGGCGCTTCTGTTGTATAAGATTTTAAAGCATGGAAACATTTAAAAAAGAAATTAAAGTATTCATAAGCACATATGTATTATATGTATAGAAGGATTTGTAAAAAGATACATGATATGTAGATAGGTGATAGATGTAGCACAATAGAACAGATCAGAGAGAAACAGGTGAAGAGAGCATCATACACACATGGACAAACAAAAGCATACAACAGTATGGTTTGAAGTAGTTCAAGTACAAAGCTTTACAAAGCACAGTTCAATAAGAAGATAGCAAAACTGCTTGTCTCCTTAACAACAAGAAGTAACCACTCCATATTTAGACCACATAGCATAGCATCCTTCCTCTGCCCTGCTTTTTTTAAGCTTCTCCACTTTCTGTACCCTAGTAGTGCTATTTATGTAAACAAGTATCTCCTCTCTCTCACAAGGAACTTAATGTCCAGCACTGTATTTGATTTATCTTTAAATCCTTTTTGGTATCTAGTTCAAAGCCATGGTCACCGTAGGGCTCCAAAATATTTGTTGAAGGAGAGATTTACTACTTACAGGAGGCTGAATCAAAAGTAGAATTGCTTCATTGGAACCCCTAGGATATTCAGGAAGTTGTCAAATACTGTCTAGGCTTCTTCTGAAATTCTCTGATATCCTTTCTTTTCATCATCCTATCCTGGGAGTGCACCTGCTCACAACATGAGCCATTAAGAAATTCCTCAGTGGTCTCCCTACTTATAGTCTAAGTGCTTCCAATCCTAGCTGCACACCACCACTGCCATCTCTTCCCCTACAGAAGAAACTTTGCTAGAGCATCTGTTTCATCTTGTCAAAGCCTGGATGAGTTCACACTCATCTGCTTGCCCACCCCACAGTGACCTCCTACCCACACAATCTCATTCTCCACTTCTCTCTAGCATGAATGGTGTACTCAGCCGGGCCGCTCATCCTTTCACCCCACCTCCACCTCCTCACACGTACACACAATCTCTACACACTTTCAACTTGGTGCCCTCTTCTCCAAATCAACAATCTTTCTCCCTCCTCCATGAGTCAGGCCTTCACTATCTTTCAAGGTCCAGATTAATTTCCTCTTAATCAGGATTCCTTCTCTCTGAACCCTCTTAACTGTCAAAAGGGAAGTTCTCCATGCACGATGATAATAACTAAACATGACTCACATGTGATGTGGCCGATCTTTGTTGTTTTTGTCTGCTCAGCCCTGCCTGCCAACTCTTCCTGGTAATAACAACCCCCCCTTCCCCCCACTATTTGGAGGAACCACTTATCCTGTTATGCTAGGGTCATGTGTCATGCTTATCCACCCACTGGTCCCTAGGGAGGGACAGCCCAGGATAAGATCCTGAGGAGTCTCAGCATCTAAAAGGCATGCAAGAATACGAATTCAAGGGGCACCTGGGTGGCTTAGTCGGTTAAGCGGCCGACTTTCGCTTAGGTCATGATCTCGCGGTTCGTGGGTTCGAGCCCTGCGTCGGGCTCTGTGCTGACTGCCAGCTCAGAGCCTGGAGCCTGCTTCAGTCTGTGACTCCCTCTCTCTCTGACCCTCCCCTGCTCACGCTGTCTCTCTCTCTCTCCTAGAAATAAATAAAACATTAAAAAAATTAAAAAAAAAAAAGAATACGAATTCAAAAAAAACCATGAGAAGAAATGATCAGATAGGTAAAAGGAGAAACAGAAGAGAGACAGAAGAGAAGAGAAGAGAGGTAGAAATAGAAGAGAACTTCCTCATCAGAGAAGAGAAAAGCTATCCAAGGAGACAGAGAAAAAGAGAAGAGTGGTCAAATTCCAAATTAAGTGGACGTAAGATGAGATCTGATAAGAGGTCACTGATTTAGCAATAAGGACCTCCCTGGAAGAGCCCTGTTTCAGTACAAGTGCAAAGGTAGGTGAGGAAGTAGGGACCGTTCCATCGATTGACATTCCAGTAGCATAGAAATGCAGGAAGAGAAAACAGACAGCAGACAGTAGAAGGACCTCCAACTGTCCGTGTGTTTGTTCAGTAAGATCTATTTGAACATATTCAAAGGCCAATAAGGACTGAGGGGAAGGAATAGAAAAAAGCTAAAATACAGAAGAGAGAATAAAAGATGCAATAGAGAATATGGGAATGATGACCTGGTAGGAGGTATGAAAGTTTGGGTCAGTGCCTATATGGAGGGATAACACTTCTCCCAGAAGGATAGACAGGAAGGTAAGAAGTAATGGGTGTAGGTGTGTACACCATATGGAGGTGTAAGAGGCTGAAATACGTATGCTCTTGGCTTCAGTCTTCTGTGTGAAGGAGAAAGCCTACTTGCTGAGGAAGGGGTAGAGGACGTGAGTTGTCAATGAAGCAGCAGGACAAGAAGAGATAGTCAAACTGTTCTAAGGGTTCAGCTGAAGACAGAAATCCCAGAATTTGATGGTGCCTGTGTACTTCTCTACAGGCTTGTCTCCACCAGATAAAGCACAGGAGTGGAGAAGAGAGACATTGACTCAAGGGTGGGAATTCTGGGTCATATGATACAGAAGGACAAATGGCTGGAAACCTAAGAATCATGGGAACAGAGTGGAAGAAGTGGTGTATCATGTGTCCACGTAGGCCAACAGATCGAAGATCGTGGAACTTTCAGGCAGGCGATGGATCAGGAGGGAAAGAGGAGTTGAATGAGAAGAGGTCTGGATGCACTTAACTCCCTGGGCAGTGACCCAAGAACTGTCAAAATGAACAGAGAGAACTATGGTGGCCTAGTGATATGTTAGAGTTTTTAAAAGTTCAGAGGATGCTGCTGCAGACGCTGAGGTCCACAATCGATGAAGGTCACTGCAGGTAGGAGATGATGCAGGATTGGGGAGAAGAGTCAAGTTCAAGTCAGGACTCAAGTTCAAGTCAGGACTTAAGGTTCTGCCTCTTTACCTCCCAAATCACCTTAATTATAATTTTGAATATTTTTTAATCTTTTTATTTTATTTATTTGTTTATTTTTGAGAGAGAGAGAGAGACAGAGCACGAGCATGTGTATATGTTGGATAGGGCAGAGAGAAAGGGACAGAGAGAGAGACTCCCAAGCAGGCTCCATACTCAGCACAGAGCCCAACATGGGGCTTGATCCCACAATCCTGGGATTGTGACCTCAAAATCAAGAGCCAGGCGCTTAACTGACTGACTGAGCCACCCAGGCACTCCTTAAGAATGTGGAACACCTTCTTAAGAGAGTAATCTTCGGTTACTTCTACAGATATCTAACCTCATTGTAAGCAATTATTTTACTTTACAGAAGATAACTTTATTTTCAAGTTCCTAGATGGGCGTTTGACAGCCACCCCCCACCCCCCTCCTGCCATGAACTGCCCTGCCCTAGGGACAGATTTGCTATGGATCTCATTTTGGTTTTCAACAATGCCACCCTCATTCCATTACTTTACTGCCTCTTGTATGAATTATTTATTAACCCAACCAGATCATAAATTCCTAAATTTTACTTCCATCCCTCCCAAAGCTGCAACTGTCACGTACATAATTGATCTTTAATTCTATTTGAATGCGTGGGTGAGAGAACAGATTCACAACTGCTAGAAAAGTCCTTATCTTTGGGGAGTGTGAGAATGTAAGATTCATAGATGAACAGCAGTTTTCAAAGGTAGAGGGACCTTACAGTGGATAGCCTAATTCACCAAGTTCATTTTTAATGAGAACACTGAGCCAGCCTGTTTTATGACCTTGGACTCAACTTGCCCGAGTCACAGAGCTAGTATGAATATGTTTCATCAATCTGAAGGAGCTCTATGAATCTTGTATCATGTCCCATTTTCAAACTTGGTGTCTCACCTCTCTTATCTGAGATAATTTGTGTGTAATCAAAAATAACAATTATAATAATTATATATTGCTGTTAACATTATTATAAGTATGTATAATTCAAATATTTGTAATTTTGGTATAATATAACAACAAAAGATTTCACATAATCTAAAGCAATATAGCTTCCACCCAAACCAGTCATTCCCGAAAAGTTCATAAAAACTCAAACGACAGTCAGCTGAATTTGCTCATTCATTTCCATGGACCCGAGACCACGGAGTTGGCAAATATCTTGACCACAGGCTCCTGTTTCTCTGCCATTTCTCTAGCTGGAAATAAACGAAACTTACTTCTCCAGAAACGCCACACAGGCGGTCTGCCCGTAGATCTGTGCGATCCTCTTTGGCGTGTCCCCAAAGAAGTCGGGGGCGTCGATGGCAGCATGCAATGCATGGAGCATTTTGAGCACATTCACGTGGCCTGACTCAGCTGCAAAGTGGGCTGGGGTCCAGCCCACGTCAGTTACCAGGCAGGGCCTGGCTCCGTATTCTAGAAGGAGCTGCATCACCTCCAAATGCCCTTAGATGTAACAGGAAGAAACAGGAGGAGGTTAAGATTAAAATGTCTCTGCCCCCACTGTGGCCAGAACTAGCGTAGGTAGTGCAAGAGAAAGAAGACATTTGCCTGGAGGCGCTTCCAGTTTTCTAGTATCATCTTCACCCCCCTCCTCCCCTTTTTACCAGGGACGCAGTTCACCACCTTACTCCATGAACCTTGCTCACACCAGAGGCCTGGGCCCTCCAAGTGTTCCCTCTACTCCCTCCCTCCAGGGCACCCCCTCCCTACCCCCTTCCATTCCTAGGAATCTTGTTTTCCCTCCTAAATGACTGTACACATGCCCATTGGGCACTTGTCATGTTCGCTGTTTTTGGCAGACTCAGTGGTGACTCAAAAACAAATATTTTGCAACAACGCAGATGGACCTTGAGGGCATTACACTAAGTGAAATAAGTCAGATAAAGAGAAATACCTTATGATCTCACTTATATGTGGGATCTAAAACAACAACAACAAAAAAAACATGCACACAAAAAACACACCAATATCATCAGTACAGTGAACAAATTGGTGGTTGCCAGAGGTGGGGGATTAAGGGTTGGAGAAATGAGTAAAGACTGGCAAAAGGTACAGTTATAAAATAAGTAAGTCCTGAGGATGTAATGTACCACAGGGTGACTATAGCTAATAGTACTGTTGAGCATATGTGAAAGTTGCCAAGAGAGTAGATCTTAAAAGTTATCACAAGAAAACTTTTTGGTAACTACAAATGGTGACAGATTTTAACTCTACTTACTGTGATGGTCATTTCACAATACACACAAAACTTTACTCATCGTATTGTACATCTGAAACTGATATAATGCTGTATATCAGTTATACCTCAATAAAAAAATATTTTAAGTCCCACTGACTTTATGGTTAGGACAGATTAAGAGCACAGGCTTTTGAGGAAGACAGATGTGGGCTCATTCCTGCCAGTAAGTAACAGCTGCTAACTATGGCGTCCCAGACAAGAAACAAAGATGTGAGGCTCAGTTTCCTCATTTGTAAATTAAAAATATTATCACTTCCTTCCTCACGGAGTTCTCATGAAATACAAATGAAATCACAGACATAACATACAGCATAAGCCCAGGATGTAGCAAATGATCACTAAAAGGTGTAGCAAATGATCACTGAAAGGTGCTTCAGTATGACTACCATCTCATTGTACTTAAATTTCTGCCAAATTCTACCAACTGATTTGTCTGTGTCCAGTCTTGCTTCCTGCCAATCCATTCTCCATACAGAAGTCAAAACAAAATTTTAAAAAGCAAAGTTGAGGATAATACTCTTTTACTTGCCATTCTTCAATGGTGTTCCATCTCTGAAGGCCTCGACAAGCCCGTTGGCTGAGATTTTGCCACTATCCTCCTTGAATACTGTAACTGAGCCATGTGAGGCATGGGGGGTACAGCAATGAACAAAACAGAGTCCCTGTCCAACAAGAAAGGGACTCTTTCTTGTTGGAGGCCACGAGGTCAGAAGACTAATATTAATTGAGAGCTAACCACTCAATTATGTGCTAAGCACTGTATACTCATTATCTTAGTGAATCCTCACCACAAGATTCCAAGGTAGCATCGATGTCCCATATGTAGATGAATAAATTAAGGTCCAGAGACATTAAATAACTTGCTTAAAGTACTACAACCAGTATGTGGTGGTGCCAGGGTTGAAGTGTTCCATTTGGCTCTCAAGAAATGTCCCTTCTACTACCCCACACAGACTGGTAACTTCACAAATGGCGGACTCCCAAAGATGGATTCTACCCAGGCATTGCCCACTCACCTTTGATTGCAGCCCAGTGAAGTGGAGTTCGGTCATTCCAGTCGACGTCCTTGTAGTTTGGGTCACAGAGACCTTTCTTCAAAATCTTTTTCACTAAACTGTAATCGCCTGCAGCCACGGCTTGGTGGAGCTTTGTCATGTCTGCCATTTTGGTGAATTCCATGACTAAAATAACTGGGAAAAACATGCCACTTAGGAAGTTCTCTACAATCTTGATTCTCAGGAAGTGATTCCACAGGATTATCATTTACTTTCTTTCTCACCTCACACATTTGCATGTGTGTGCTCTGCTGAGGGTGTCTTTGGATCCCAGCCACCGTGGTTAGTACATGCCAGTCCCCTACCTAAAAACTGTCAATGGCTCCCTTTTGCCTAGGGGAATATAGACTTACCTCATAGTTTGGCATTTTCTATTTGGCCTCAAACCACTGTCTAGTGCTGTTTCCAGTTCCTGTTCCAAAGCGCTGGTAGTCTGATTCTGAATTAAGTGTGTGTTTCTGTGCCTTACCTTTCTCATCTATAACATGGATATAACTTGCCAGAATTGTTGTGAGGGTACAATGACAATCCATGTGAAAGGTTTACTGACTGGAGACAGAGCAATTACTCCACAGGAATTGAATGCTATTGGCACACCCGTTCAGACCGACAAGATGTAAACATGCAAATGACATGGCTACAAGTTATTTACAACATTAATACATAAACCAATCAGTACTCAAACTATAGTCTACAGATGCTTAGGAATCTCTAGGACTCTTTCAGGGGCTCCATGAGGTCAAAAGTATTTTCATTATAATATTTAAATGTCATTGGCCTTGTTCACTGTGCTGACATTTGTCCTGATGGTTGAAAAGCAATGATGTAGAAAGCCTCTGGTGCCTTAGCACAAAGCAAGGCGGTGGCAGTGATACCAAACTAGACTAGCAGTCACGGTGTTCTTCATCATCACACACATAGAGTCCAAAAAAATTTTTTTAAAAAAGCTAGTTTCAGTAAGGAAACTATGGGGCGCACCTGGGTGGCTCAGTCGGTAAAACATCCGACTTCGGCTCACATCATGATCTCACCATTTGTGAGTTTGAGCCCCGCATCAGGCTCTGTGCTGACAGCTCAGAGCCTGGAACTTGCTTCAGATTCTGTATCTCCCTCTCTCTGTGTCCCTCCCCTGCTTGCACTCTATCTCTCTCTCTCTCAAAAATAAATAAAAATAAAATAAAATAAAGACACAGTAGTAGTAAGAATTATAAATGTTGACCCTTAATTCCATAACTTAATAAAAGTGATTTTAAAATATTCTGTAACAAAATGTGTCAACGTTTGGAAAGTCTGCATAACCCCATGAACATGTATTTTCAAAATGACAAGTGTATGATGTTACAAAATCATGCATGGGTTGAGAGATCCATTTAAGATAGACCTGTGGATTTTAGTGAGACAGAGGTGAAAAGTAACTGAGGTTTCAGATTCCAACTCACCTAAAAAGCAGTACCATGTGTCAGTTTGGGTATAGTATCAAAGAAGAATATCTGCAGTTATCTGAAAAGGCTACAAAAGGGGCACCTGGGTGGCTCAATTTGTTGAGCGTTCGACTTCGGCTCAGGTCATGATCTCACAGTTCGTGGGTTCAAGCCCCCTTTCGGGCTCTGTGCTGACAGTTAGCTCAGAGCCTGGAGCCTGCTTCGGATTCTTTGTCTCCCTCTCTCTCTGACCCTCCCCTACTCATGCTGCCTCTCTCTCTCTCTCTCTCTCTCTCTCTCTCTCAGAAATAAATAAAACATTTTAAAAAATTGAGAAGGCTATAAAATACTCTTCCCTTTTCCTTGTATATATATGTGGAACCAGATTTTCTTTGTATAGTTCAGGCAAAACAACAAACTTGAATGCAGAAGATCTAAGAACCTACCTGCCTTCTATTAAGCCACATATTACAGGGATTCAACTACATACATACATAAATACATAATGTTACTCTTCTCATTTCTTTTACTTTAGAAAATGTAATTATTTTTCATAAAAATATTATTGATGTTATTGTATATGAAGCTTGCTATGATTTTTGTAAGTGACTTAATAAACATTTAAATTTTTTCTCAGTTTTAATTTCTAACGAGGTAAATAATAAGGTAAAGGAGTTCTGAGACCAGTAAGTTTGAGATTATGGATATAAACAAATAGGGGTTAGGATAGAAATTTTTTAGCTTTTATTTATTTTGGGGAGAGAAAGAGAGAGGCAGACTGCAAGTGGAGGAGGGGCAGAGAGAGAGGGTGAGACAGAATCCAAAGCAGGCTCCAGGCTATGAGCTGTCAGCACAGAACCGAATGCGGGGCTTGAACTCACAAACTGTGAGATCATGACATGAGCCGAAGTCGATCACTGCTCCGACTGAGCCACCCAGGCACTCCAAGAGTTGGGACTGAATTAAAGAATGAGGAGAGAGTCATTGCAGTCGGGCCAATGAGAATTCTCTTTGGTCCCAACATTTCAGTTGTGATCTCAAGAAGATTTTGGAGTCAACCAGACACATTGTGGCCCAGCAGCAGCAGCACCTAGGAATTTGTTAGAGACGTGAATTACTGAGACTCACATCAGACTTACTGATGTAGGCTGAAATATGAGAACAGCCCTAGAGCGGGAGAGTGCATAACATAAGATAATTAACACGCCATGTCCTAAGCATTATAATGGCAGTGACTTTCTGGGGACACAAGGAAAGGACCATTCTTCAGGACTTTTTTCTGAAAGTGACCTAAACCACATTCCAAAAGGATAAATAAAGAGTCTTCTTGGGCTTCGCAGTGGTGGAAAATCCAACTCAGGCAACCGCGCAGCTGATGTGAGGAGGGAGGCACATTCTACAAAGGGCAAGTGGCTCCAGGTTTGATGTATAGACCAAGGATCCACAAGTGTTTCCTATAAAGGGCTGGACAGGAAATTTTTTAGCCTTTGTGGGCCAAGAGACAAAAATCAAGACTATTATTTAACATTAGGTAACTATTATGTAACAAGAGAAAAACTCCTGCCAGGGGCGGCCATCTTGGGAGAGGAAGGATTGGTGGGGGTGGTGGGTGAGCATGCTTTGTGCCCAGTAGCCCTCAGCTGGAGACATTCTCAGGGCAAAAACCAACCAGCCCGGGGAGGAGGGGTCTGGCTAGAAGGATAGTCACTTTCCCTTTACCTCAGTGATGCCCACATCCCAGGATGCCCTCTCTCCTCTCCAAGAGCCCAACCATTTCCAGTTGACAGCTGGTGGGAGGCAAGGTAACTTGACTGGACTATTTCTACTGCTCAGTGCCCAGAAATTGCCTACAGCAGAGTCCCCAAAATGTAGGTGCTGAGCAGCAGGGCTCTGGGTAGAGACTAGGCACAGTGGTGAGCTCAGGAGACAAGTGCTAAGAACAGACAAGGGAGCGGTTGGCTCTCCAAAACTCACCGTGCTTGCCAACTGAGAGTCACCATCATAAGTGGTGACCACATTGAGGAGCAATATCTCTCTGGCTATTATAAGGCAGGGGAGAGACCTGAAGTAAGGGAGAAGCAGTAAGGATGCAGCCATTGTTCTTCACTGAGGGACTATGTGACAGTTACCGGTGAGTTTTTAAAAAGAATAGATGCCCGGGCCTCAGCCTGAATCAGTGCTTCAGAATGATTGGATGTGTTGGACAAGGCGTGGCGGAGGCCGACTCCCGCAGGTCCAGGGGTCCCTGAAGGATGGACGGTGTCGGTGAGAGAGAGAGTGAGAGAGCCCCGAGATTCTTTCTGGTCACCAGGCAGGGATCTCCATCCTGTCGGTTTTGGTGTCTTTATTTATAGGTCAAAAGATAACATGACATCAGAAAAAGGAATTTTTACAATGGACAACTCTTTGTGATAAGATGCTTTGGAAAGTGTACAGAAGCAGGTTTTACAGGAGTATTCTTGCAGAACTATTCCAATCATAGTGAGGTTGAGTAAATCTTACAACTAAGGAAATAACAGGGTATTCTTCGTGAAAAACAAGATGACATACATATTTGTTCTAAGTTAATAATGCTAAGGTTAGATCATAGGTTAAGTGTATAGGTGGATTAAGAGTCATTCTTTCTGGCTCACAAGAGGACGAATGGTTTTGAGCTGGTTAATAAGTTGTTTGTGGAAATCTTTTTTTTTTTTTAAGAGAAATCTTTTTTTAATTTTTTTTTTTTAAATTTATTTCTGAAAGAGACAGACCACGTGAGCAGTGGAGGGTCAGAGAGACAGGGAGCTACAGAATCTGAAGCAGGCTCCAGGCTCTGAGCTAGCTGTCAGCACAGAGCCCGAAGCGGGGCTCGAACCCACGAACTGTGAGATCATGACCTGAGCCGAAGTCAGACGCTTAACCAATTGAGCCACCCAGGCGCCCCTGTGGAAACCTTTTTGACTTGATGCTGAATGTGTGAACACCATGGAGGCCCTAAATGTGTCAGCCTTTGTTTTTGGGTTATGTTTTAGCTACTCTCATCTATCCTCATCCCAGCCGCCCCTGTAAGGGAAGGTGTTTGCAGAAAGTAGGCCTTAGGGAAGGGACTGCCATATGTCAACAGTTAGAAAAGGTGTAAGTATTAACTTAAGTTCTGCCCTTATCTGTTCCTGAACTCTAAATTAGGCTCTTTCGACATGGAACCAGGCTCAATTGTAATTCTTGTGTTCTTACGCCCCTTTATTATCTAAGTCTTGGATCTGCAAGGCCCATAGGAAGAGCCTTTTGACAATCATCCACAGACCTTTCATCTAAAATCTCTTTTGTAAAGGCAGGAATATGCTTTTCCTTATGAGGTGTCTGTGTTTGGAATATTGGTCTGATCTGGGATATTGTGAGGCTGGTCAATACCAGCAGACTCCTTTCCAACATGAGCCAGTAGTAGCAGAAAGAGATACCAGTTTTCATTTCTCATGGCAGGAGCTGTGCAAACACTGCCATTTCCTTGCTGTGACTGTCGTCCAGAGAGGCCGGTGCGGCTCCCAGCAAAGGCCATGCCTTTTTGCATGAAGTGAGCACTCAGTATGTGTTAGGTAAGAGAGATGGCATGGGATGTGTTTTATCTTGTTGGCTTGTTTGGTTTAGTAGAAAACCCTTACACTGGAGCATTTGCTCAATGACAAAATCAAATAGTAAACAGAAGTACTAGAGGACTTCTAATCTTCAGGTGTCACAAAAAGCCGAACGGTTCTTATAATCTGGAAGTTTTTAGTGCCTGGAAGCCCCTGCTTACACCGCGTCCAAACCTTTAAGCAGGTTTAGCCTGAAATCAACCCCCTTAGTTTCACATTTGTGTCCACACCAAGGACATGCCATAACTTCCCACAGATAAGTTGCAATTCAAGTAGAAGTTTCCAATGTGTAGCTATATTTATTTGCAGAGAAATTGACGGGCTACAATTCAGATGGAAATGCAGAGGACTCAGGCAGGCTAAACAAGCTAGGCAAAACAATCTTGCGAAAGAACAAAGTTGGAGGACTCATGCTTCCAATTTCTAAACTTACTATAAAGCTACAATAACCAAGACGTGTGGTACAAAGTACATTGTGCGGTATAAAGATAAATAGAGAGAAAGGGGACAGAGTTGAGAGTCCAGGAATAAACGCTTACATTATGGTCAATTGGTTTTTGGCAAAGGTGTCAGAAAAATTCAATGAGGAATACGTAGTCTTTCCAAATGGGTACTGACATAGTTGGGTTTATACATACTCCAGAATACAGTT